TTGTGGTACAATTCATGCCGTTTCCTGCAAGCCTTCATTTCCAACAGGAAAGTTGGCTGGTCATTGATCACGGAGGCCCACCACAGACTTTTAATCCTTGTCCAGTCGTTGGATTTGAAAGAGGCAGAGATTGATACTGTTGACTGGATGAGTTTTAGAAATTAACTATAAATTAAGAAAATCAAGCAGAGACATGGCTCGTTTTGTAACTCACTAATTAACATGACTGTGTCAGTTGCCATGAATGCTGTACCACCTCATTAGAGGTCACAGTGCAACCAAGGGTGTACAGATATGGGTGCCAGCCAGTGTTGTGATTAGTGATGTAATGAAGGTGGCATCTTTCAAATATTTCCTGATTTAAGTTAAAAATCCACAGAAAGGTTTTTTGCCACTCTCTGGAGTTACCCAATGTTTTTCAAAAGTCAGTGTGGATTACTTTGTATTTCTTTCACAACAATCTAAAACCCTTTCGTGCCAAGGTAGTAACTGTAGAACCACTGATCTCAGCTATAAATGTTGTCGTTTCTAATTTATCTGTCCAGATTCTGTGTTCAGTCCAAATCAGATTAGAACTTTTCCAGAAAAATGGGATGCCTAGAATTTGGGGAAATTGGGGTTTTTTCACCACTCTTTGCTTCCTGGTGGAAGTGTCCAAGGTCCTGTTGGACAGTCTTGGAGTGCAGGCAGTGCAGTGACCCTTGCTTCCTTTATCCCTGACCCAGAGCACCAGCCACCCTACATCATCGCTGTGCTGCCCCGCTATGTGGAGATCCGCACCTTTGAGCCACGCCTTCTGGTCCAGAGTGTGGAGCTGCAGAGGCCCAGATTCATCTCCTCGGCCGGGTAAGAGGGAGGGGGCCTGCTGGGGCTGATGGCGAGGGGGCCGAACCCCCAGATAACTCTGACCTTGTGGTGTGCAGAATTTAGACTGGGGAAAAACGCGTTCTCTCTTCCACCTCCTGGTTGGTGTATTAATGATCTAACACATCAACAGAGTTGAGTTTGAAGGTGTAGTAATATACACGTTAATAGCACAGCAAGTAGTGTATTTGGGATGATGGAGTCACGAGGGCATTGCAAAGAAGATAGCCGCACAAAATGTCCGTACTTGCCTTAAAAATTGTTGATTCATCCCAGGCTGATGAGACGTCTGGTTTAAGCAGGAGGAACAAAATTGGCAGTATCCAGTCAAACTGGTTGCACATACATGTACTTACAATAACACTAGCTCCCATTACTGTAAGTAATTGTAAGTCTTTCAATGGTGTATAATGATAAGAATCGCCACACCTCACTGTCTTATCCTGGTCAGGACTGTTTGTGAACGTTGTCTGTGTTCCTGTCTTCTGGCTTCAGGAGTTTAAATGGGCACAAGTGAGTGTTTGTTTAGCTGGGCCCAAACAAGTGGGAGGGACGTTGTTTAAATCTGAGTGTCCTGTGTGATTTACTGGGGGAGAATAGTGGTCTGAGATCGTTGGAGGAGTTGCTGAGGGAAACTTTTGGCTGGGATGAGCACACCCATAAACTACTCTTAGTCATTTAGCTGTAGGATTTGAGACTTGTGGTGTTTTTTTTTTTCGCAATACCTTTGAGTTTGTCAGTCAGCCTCTCTGCAGTCTGCCATCCATCCTGGGGAGAGTAATGCAGGTCAGTGATGTTGGCAGAGGGGAGCTTTACGTAACATGTGGGTAATGCCAAGCTATTGTAGGTATGTGGTTGTAATTTTGTGTGCTTTGTGAGTTGAAGCAGTCTTGTGTAACATGTTTGTCTGTCACCTTCCTGGACATTTTGTTTGTTTTCTCCTGCAGGCCCAACATTGTGTACGTTGCCAGTAACCATTTTGTTTGGCGGCTGGTCCCTGTTTCCATAGCGACGCAGATCCGACAGCTCCTTCAGGATAAGCAGTTTGAGTTGGCCCTTCAGCTGGCGGTGAGCAGCCACTCGCATCTGTTTGGTCTAGAGGGAGTTATAACCAACACAGGAAATTGGTTAAGGGTGTTTAAATTTTCTGTTTCCATAATGTTGCACTAAGCTGTGGTGGGTACAGTGTATCCCATTTCTCACCATTACAGTAAGCATTACTGTTTTTACACATCATGCCTGCATATTTTCAGTTGCTGTATTTTAACCAGTTCCAGCTGGACGTGTACTACTCACTTTACAGAACAGTTCGACAGAAGGTAGCTTTTAAACTTGAGAAAAATGTGTTTTTTACTTTATTCAGAATGCTTATCTTTCTGAACTTTTCATTGAATTAAGAAATTTACACATTTTACTTTTCGTTTTCCATGCAGCTCTGCCATGAGTAGACATAGAACTTTACATTGAGGTTTAATCTCCCTGCCTGTCATACAAATTTCTCTGTACTCTATTATTCTTTCTGTTTTCTTCATACTACGCCGAAACTCCTGAGGTCCATAAATACTGCAACCAGAATTTCTAAACGCCAGAAATTCTTTCTGAATGTGCTACAGTGAAGATCTGAGGTCTGAGACATGCAACTTTTTTCATTTAGAACTATATCACCTCAACTTTAGATCTGTAGAATTTTCTCCTTGGACTTATTAACAGTGCAGTGCAATGAGACTCCTGTCTCCTCAGAGACATTTTTGTTAAAATGAAATCTTAGATGGTCAAACTAGATCACTGGGGTCATAGTGCCAGTCCCATCATTCCATTCTCTGGTTCAGTGGCAGTACGTTTTTTTTTTTCCATCAGCTATGCCATTTCTCTTCCAGAAGATGAAGGATGACTCGGATGGTGATAAGAAGCAGCAGATCCATCACATCCAGAACCTTTATGCCTTCAACCTCTTCTGTCAGAAGCGCTTTGACGATTCCATGCAAGTTTTTGCCAAGCTGGGCACAGGTCAGTGAGGATTAGCAGGTAACAACCTTTCTGCTCTTCACAGTGATGAAACCAACAGCAGAGTGAGACACTGCCACAGGTTTGACATGTCTGAATATATTTCTTGAAATCACTGCTGGAGGAGGGAAGTCAGTAGATGGGAGGTCATTGCTTGGCTGTTTAAGAAAACCTACTGCAGCTGGATCAGTAAACGGGCAGAATTGGAAGGGTGTATTACAGTAAGAGCAGAGACCATCACTGCATAAAGGAAAACCCTGGAAGGGCAGTAGAAATAGAATTGTGGGAACAAAAAAGTGGGATGAATAATGCATCTATGTATGAAACAGGTAATACTCAGCACTTTAGAACAGAGAACATTTAGAACATTTTAGAGAGTTGGAGGATTACAATACAATAAACCAGAAGCACAATTAAATGGCAAATACAATGTGCTAGATCCCTGATCTTCACAACAGTCAGTGTGAAGTACTGCTCCTTTGGTGGTGATCATGTGTTGTATTGCAAGCATCACTAAAATGAAGAGATTGGTTTTGAAGAGACATTCTAAGATGGTCAGAGGTCCTGGCATTATTTGAGTGTGTAGAATAGCGTGGTTGCAGAGTATTATATTCTGCACGCTCAATCAATGTACATCACAGGTTTTGAAAGGTGCTACAAGTGTCAATCAGGCTGAAATTCAGAGTGAGATGCAGGCACAACAGAGTTTTTTTCATTGCAAAGTAAGCAGAATTTCCCTGTCGTCTCCAGATCCCACCCACGTGATCGGGCTGTACCCCGACCTGCTGCCCTCTGACTACCGCCGGCAGCTGCACTACCCCAACCCCCTGCCCAACCTGTCTGGCGCTGAGCTGGAGAAGGCACACCTGGCTCTGATTGACTACCTGACCCAGGTAACAGCTCCCACGATGCCCAGCTCGAGTCCCAGCATGCGGCTCAGAATAAATCAGCATATCGATCATTTTAAATAGTTTTGAAACATGTCTTGGCTTTATTAAACTTTATGCTAATTTATATTAGTGCAATTGTATCAACTACACATTTTTAGAAACCAATATAAAATACTGCACAATGAAAGCCATGAGAGAAGAGCACTTGGTCTTATTTGCTGTATAATGTTCCAGTTTAAGTGGAAGTACCATTCAGCTTTAATCGTTTTAAAACATGAAATTCAGAGAGAACAGTAATAAAAGAGAGTGTACTTCAGGCTCTGCACTGATATTCAGATTATCCTACTTTGGTTCCACAACCCAGGAGGCACAGTGGTTCAGTGGTTAGTATTGCTGCCCTGGGATCAATTCTGGACCTGGAGAGCTATCCGTGTGGAGTTCGAATGTTCTCCCCCGTTCGCATGGGTTTCCTCTGGGTGATCTGGTTTTGTCCCACAATCTAAACACATGCAGGTAGGTTAATTGGCTTCTAGGAAAATTTACCCTGTTGTGAGTGTGTGCTAGTCTGCATCTGTGTGTGCCCTGTGATGGACTGGCATCCCGTCTAGAGTGTACCCTGCCTCGTACCCATTGCTTTCCAGGGTAGGCTCCAGCTCTGTATTAGGTAAAGCGGTTAGAAAATGGATGGATGCTACAGCAATCCAATTCCATTAACTCCTTCTGTTTGTACCTTCTAAAGGCCAGGTGGTGACTTTAAAAGCTCTGGTGAATAATGAATCTTGATGCCCTCCATGCTCGTGCGCTGATCGGAAACGAAGACGATCTCCGATGCCTGGCGCGGCTTGCGGAGCCGCTCGTGGTGATGCGACGCCAGTGGCCAGCAGGCCGCGCCCCGAACCCAGAGCTCACCTGCCAGGCGGCTGTTCTCTCTTGCAGAAGCGGAGCCACCTGGTGAAGCAGCTCAACGACTCGGACCCGTCCACCACCTCCCCGCTCATGGAGGGCACGCCCACCATCAAGTCCCGCAAGAAGCTGCTGCAGATCATCGACACCACGCTGCTCAAGTGCTACCTGCACGTAAGGGCCCCCTTCCTGCCCGCCAAAACCCTCATTTCATTCCTTCACTCGGTGTGGTCCTCATCCAGGGCGAAGTTGAAGAAAGGCTCCAGACAACGACATAACTTGGACCCTTCATTCCCTCTCTCCCATGCGGGTGGAAGTGTAGGCATTAGCTGAGCTATTTCGGCAATCGGGTAGGTAGGAAACTGATGCCTACCCCCTCCCCGAGCTAAAGAAGGCCCACATGGCTCTGATTGACTAATGAAAAATGAAAAATAAAAGGTCATTCTAAGCCTCCATGCATTTAGCCTTTGAGGTTAGAAGGCCTCACGGCTGTGAATATTTTATCTGTGCAGGTCTGAGTCTCGATGAGGGAGTGAAACAAACAGAAATTCAGGAAATCCCAGAAGGCTTTTAATTACGGCTTACAGCCCATTAACTGATGCGGCTCGGCGTTATGCGAGAAGACAAGGCATTTCAGACAGGGAACATAAAACGACAGGTCCTCTCTCCTGTCTGCTGCGTGGGAGCGTGTACAGGAGACACACTAGGCCCAGAGGGACTGACGTGGCTTTTGATTCCTGCTCACAATAACTGCACACTCCTCCTCCCCCAGACCAACGTAGCCCTGGTGGCGCCGCTCTTGCGGCTGGAGAACAACCACTGCCACATCGAGGAGAGTGAGTACGTGCTGAAGAAGGCCCACAAGTACAGTGAGCTCATCATCCTGTATGAGAAGAAGGGGCTGCACAAAAAAGGTGAGCCCGTTTGGCATTGCTGGCTTCAATTAGTCATTTCACCTTGGACACGGCTTGGAATCTCACTGAACAAGGAAGGCTTGTGGAGATTCGAGCATTTTCTATTCCCAGCAGATTGTAAACAACTTGTAAATAGGCCTTAATGTTGCACAGCTGTTAGAAATCCCTCTATGGAATAAAATATGCTCTGAAATCCAGGGATTGAGATCGCTCTGTTCAATCTCATGGCTTTGTTGCTGAACAGCTCGTGCTGGCCTCTGCTCAGGATGCGTTATAGGATTCTGAGTTTGAGGTATTGCAATTTTCGGGGGACTGCCGTTGCTGTGTGAGCAGGGCATTAATGAAGCCAGGTTTCTCTCTTGGTGCAGCTGTTTTCTTTTATGTACTGGGATAGATAACAAAAGCCTTGTTGGTAGGCTTCGCCAGAGTTTTGTCATGCTTTTTAATATGGATTTTTGTGCTGCTCCACCAGTGGTAAAGGGAGATTGCACTGCAGTGATCACTGTTCACCAGGGTGCCCAGTCTGTACAGCTAAAGATGTGATCTGCTGGAGTTTCCTCCTCCTGGACACAAGCTTCATAACCTTTTCTCTCTAGTGGCACTTAGGGGCAGCAGGAAACAAGGAAAATAAGAAATTAAACCGGCCAAATTATCGCCTCAGCCTGAATTAGATGTATCCGATGAAGAAGGCTAGTATTTACCAGTGTAACAAAATCCTGACCTCATGAGCAGAACTCCATATCTCCACTAGAGAAGGATGGGAATGCTTCTTCAGTGGAGATTTTTTTTCTGAAGTATGTAATGACAGGACCAAAATTCGGTCAATGGTGTGTGAAACTGCTGTTTAACCCTGTTCATGTGACTGAAAAGGCTTTGGATTGGTTGCAGGCTGTGGTTGCTCAGTGGATTGGTGAATTATGCATGTTGAATTAATGACTTACTGCTCAGCAGTCTGGAACTTGACAAGGGCCTTCTTATCCACGGGCTAAGACACAGCAGATCTGTGCTCTAGAAAGTGGAGGAGGCAAACATGGTGATCAATAGCAATGTTCTGCTCTCGGTCATTTATTTTGTTTGATCATGATCTGTGTGTTGTGTGTGTGAAATATGAATGTTCCCTTCTCCATATGTGATGTATGAGCTTGCTGAAACATCTTCCTGGGGACAGCGCTGAAGTCTACTACCTTTAAATGTTCACAGTCCTGACTTGTCTAATCTTTCTGGGCACCCTGCTAGCTTTAACATTTATTACTTGTTAACCGGTGGGCACCTAAGTACTTGACATTCCTCTGTAGGGTCTCATAGCCTTTTTGCCCTGAAGCACCTCAGCTTAGCCTGTCTGATACCTGCACCTATCTGAGTACAGTATAGGCAGCGCTGGCCCAGCCTTATTCCATTCTGTTTGAGTGTGTTGGTCTGTTGGATGCAAGAGGGAATCCTCCAGTTGTAGAAAGCCAGGCAGCTGATGGCTCTCCCTCAGCCCTCCAGGTGCTGCTGGACCAGTCCACCAAGGCCAACTCTCCCCTGAAGGGCCATGAGCGGACAGTGCAGTACCTCCAGAGACTCGGTAAGCTTTGCTAGATCTTAAAGAAATAAACCAGACTAAGTTCTCTGCTCAGGCTGAATTCGATGTGTCGGATGAAGAAGGCCAATATTTGCCAAATCACCTGCCAGTGTAGCAAGAACCTGCCCTCATCAGCAGAGCTCCATATCTCTGCTGGGGGAGAATGGGCATGTGGGAATGCTGCCTCAATGGAGGTTTTGGACTAAAGGATGTAATACAAATAACAGGGCTTATGGGGAAAAAGAGGGTTAGGGGTAGACCACTCAACCTAACCAAATGCTTTACCAAATATAATAATTATCCGAATAAAAATGTCAGCACAGTTGAAATACATTTTAGATTCATAATAAATAAAGAAATACTGCAGTAAATTTTGGACTTTACCTTGGGGAAAAAAAGTGAAGTTCACCAGCTGAAATCCTATCACCAGCATGCTTCTTAGACACATTCTTGTTACCTTGTCCACTCATTTTTACGGCAATGCAGACGATTTAGTGAAAATAGCACGACAATTGAGGAGCACCTCCCAATTGGCACTTCCAAAACAAAGCACGTGGGACATCATGTGTATGAGCATCATGTGTATTCTTCCGCGGACCACCAAGTTCGGTTGTGTTAATCCGTGACGCAAAACATAAACGCGTCTGGGATGAAATCGCGTATAAACCAACGTGAGGTTTGCATTATACAGACATCTTTCCCCTATTTACCAATCACATATGAGCCAATTCGTGTTTTGGAAACTCGTGTAATAGCAGAGATTACTTTAATTAGAGGACCGAAATTCATTCTACACTGTGTGAAGCCATGGTTTAAGTGAGTTCATGTGTGTGATAAAAAGGCTTTGAGATGGTGAAAGGCTGCAGTTGCCCAGTAGATTGGCGTGGTCACATCACAAAACCATCTTTACACACTCCACCATCCCCAAGCTGTTGACTGGCCCAGCACCTAGGTCTAAGCTTGTTTCTGCTTGGCTGTTTCTCTTTAATTCTTTTTTTTTAAATGTGTGAAAAGTAAATCATTGCTCATCTAATTGATTTGACTTCTAAAACTATTAGTTTACATGAGAAGCTCAGTGGAATCAACATTTCCCAGCAGCCATATCACCCTGCACCTCACAACTGGAAGCCCACTGAAGCTAAGCAGGTGTGAGCCTGGTCAGTACCTGGATGGGAGACCTCCTGGGAAAAACTAAGGTTTCTTCTGGAAGCTGTGTTAGTGGGGCCAGCAGGGGGGCGCTCACCCTGCGGTCTTTGTGGGTCCTAATGCCCCAGTATAGTGACGGGGACACTATACTGTAAACAGGCGCCGTCCTTCGGATTAAACGTAAAACTGAGGTCCTGACTCTCTGTGGTCATTAAAAATCCCAGGGAGTTTCTCGAAAAGGGTAGGGGTGTAACCCTGGTGTCCTGGCCAAATTTCCCATTGGCCCTTACCAATCATGGCCCCCTAATAATCCCCATCTATGAATTGGCTTCATTACTCTGCTCTCCCTCACTGATAGCTGATGTGTGGTGAGCGTTCTGGCACACTATGGCTGCCGTCGCATCATCCAGGTGTGGGCTGCACATTGGTGGAGTCCCCATTACCTGTAAAGCGCTTTGAGTGGAGTGTCCAGAAAAGCGCTATATAAGTGTGAGCAATTATTATTTCACAAAGCAGATGATTCATTATAAAGAGTGATTACAAAGGAAGTAATGGAATTAAATGGGAATTTTTGTGGAGTTAGAATTTACTCCGGATATTTTTGTTCGGCTCACCTGATTAAGAATACCCAATTGTTATGTTATTTTATATTGTTATTGTTAAACTCTGACTATTTTTCTCTTTCCTCAGGGATGGAAAATCTTGGAATTATCTTTGAGTTTTCTCCCTGGGTGCTGAAAAACTGCCCTGAGGATGGCTTAAAGGTAAAATTGCAAAAATTGCGACTTTTTCTGTGATTTTAATCTTAAGAATTTAAAATTCTTATGGGATTTTGGTCTGTACATACTCTGCGTTCATTTTTTGAGGAGTAGAATTTGCTAAACAATTTAAACATCCTTAAATTGCCTAGTCATATTTTTAATAAAAATCATTGGAATGTCTGCAGTTGTCTTAAGTCCATATATATGCTATTTTCCTTTATCGGTTTTACATAGAGTGGCTATCAAAAGTATTCATCCCCCTTTTTATATTTTATTGGGTTTCAATATGGAATCATAAAGTATTTAACAGTTTTTACTGTTGAATGAAAGAAACCACTTTTTAAGTGTAAAAGTGAAAATGATTTTTCTAAATGTGCAAAGCTGATACAAACTTATCCAAGAAGACACATGGTTGTAATTTTTGCAATAAGTGCCTCTACTACTCAAACAGGGTGAATACTTACACAAACAGTTACTTTCCATTTTATATTTTTAATTAATTTAGGAGGATCTGTAGAATTTTGTTTTCAATTTGATATTATGGAGTGGTTTGTGTTGATCAATGGCACACAGTGCCATTGTGATTTTATTTTGTAATTCTCCCTTTGAGTGTGGCAGTGTGCTCTGTAATCTGTGACCTTCCAGGCCTGAGCGTAATGGAAATGCGCAGTCCTTTCGGGATGTCTTCACGTCCTCTGACTGTCTCTGTGATTCGTGCGCCTTGGTTTTTGTCTCAGATCTTCACCGAAGACCTGACAGAGGTGGAGACTCTGCCCAGAGAGAAGATCCTGAACTTCCTGAAGGAGGGATTCAAAGAGCTTGCTATACCCTATCTGGTGAGACCAAGGAGACGGCTAGAAGCCTGTCAGCACCCCTTGTGCTTATTTACATTTTGGCAACGGTTGTTCCTGATTTTAAAAACTGAGCAGTGCTGGAATGAAACTTTAGAGTGGAAGACACATGCGAGTCTGGTTAAGTCATTTTTCCTGTGCCTTGTGTTTACCTTTTCATATGTGTGGAAATTCTGTTTAACTGCATGTAGATCTTAGGATTCTCCATATGTTTGCAAAACAGGACTCCCTGCATCGGTTTCAGTTCTTCCGAGCCGGGTTGTCTTTGGCAGCACTGTACACTGTAGTGCCAGGGTTGATTTGAAGTTGACGTTTCTGTGGAGGAGACGGACAAATATGGTATATTCAACCTCTATTAATTCAGAATAGAATTGAAATAAGACGTCTTGCCCTGTTTATTAAATGACCATCATGCTTTGGAATTTAACAAAGTTAAACAGTAGGTAAGAAAGATATATTTTTCAAGTAATTTAAAAATAACAATGTGTGTACAGTAAGAAACAAAGCAAAAAGGTAGAATAACTGTCTTTGCACCAAAGTACTAAGCCAGGTATTGCTGGTTTAATTGCAGCATTTCAATATTAAAATAAACAAAAGAGGGAAATAACGTTGGAGCCCTGTGCTGGTACAGTGGTGTATTAATGAATAATAGAATACTAGAATTCTAAACTGCAATGATACAGAAGTACCTGATTTGACTTTTTCTTTGGTAACACAGATTGTTGCTGTACCAAAAGAGCCTCAGCTCTGTTTGTGTAATAAAGGTTTCCATCCATCCATTTTTTAACTGTTTTATCCAGTACAGCATCACAAGGGGTGCTGGAGCCTATCCCAGCATGCAGCAGGTGCAAGGCAGGATACAGCCTGGATGGGATGCTAGTCCATCCCAGGGCAGATATAGACACAAACACACACACACACACACCATGTTCAGTTTTCCCAGAAGCCACGTAACCTACCAGTATGTGTCTGGACTAGAGCACCCAGAGGAAACTCATGGGAATGCTGGGAGAACTTACAAGCACCATGCAGATAGCACCCCAAGCCTGGGATTGGACCCAGCGCCACCAGGACCCGAGAGACGGCAATGCTAACCACTGTGCTGCCCTGGAATAAAGATTTTCCCGTCTCTGAATGTCTCCCCTTTCACATGCAGGAGCACATTATTTCTGTGTGGGAAGAGGAGGAGCCTGAATTCCACAACTGCCTGATCGAGCTGTACCTGGAGCGAGTGCAGGCCTTGATGAAGGAATACCTGAACTCCCTGCCGGAGGGTAAGGACAGAAATCCGATCGCTTCCTGGACAGCCTGTGTGCTTGAGAAGAACATAAGAAAGGTTGTAAACAAGAGGAAGCCACATGGCTCATCTAACCCATTTGGTCGTGCAGAGCAGGGTTTCCCTATCCAGGTCCCGGAGGTTCACACACCCGATGGGTTTCATTCCTGCTGAGCCTCATTACCGAGTTGAAGCCTTAACTGAAAAAAGTTTTGCGATTTGGAATATTGGCAAGAGTTCTGCTACTCAAAAAGTCTGAAGTTTTTAGAAGGCAAGTTAGAATGAAAGGCAGCAGTTAAAGGCAACCTGCAACATGTCTAAGAAAGCAGCCAAATAGTTCAAATTAATTCTGTTATTGGGTCAGTTGAGGATTGAGTTGTGTAACTGAGGATTCAGCTGGAGCAACAACCAGCCACTGTGTTTGGTGGGGGGGGCCTCCAGGGAATATTGGGTTAGGATGCTCCTTCTGCAGTTCAGCAAATCAACAGCTTTTCTGTGTTCCTATGTGAGAGGTTTGTACTTAGTCTTTTTCTGTGCTAAACTAACTAGATAGTCAGACTTTAGAAGATGTTTTAGTAGACGCGGGGAAACCTTCAATAGTCTCAGTGCGCATAAATGCTCTCAGACACTGGTGTCATTGCCGAACATTGTGGAAAAAGCGTTAAATATAATGGTGACGTTTCCCAACAGTTTTTGTTTTGAGAGGTCTTTTCAAAACAGAAGTCAGAATGCTGAGGTAAATCTGTCCAAATGTTACAGTTGATTAGTGTCTGAAGATGACTCAACTTTTAAAATGGGGAAAAAAAACCCAAACAGGATCCACACCTCTCCTTACACAGATAAATGGGAATGATGTTCATGCAGTGCAGTGCAGTCCACCAGTTTGACAGTAGGGAGTACTGACCCTCTGTCTCTTCCCCAGATGAGACCCCGGTGCCTGCTGGCCAGGAGGAGGGGGAGCTGGGGGAATTTCGCAACAAGCTGCTGAAGTTCCTGGAGTCCTCCACGCGCTATGAACCCGAGCGGCTCATCAGTGACTTCCCCTTTGATGGTGAGGGCTGCTCCACGCGCGGCTCAGCGCCCCCCATCCGTTGACCTGGCAGTGATCCCGCCTGCTCTGTGTGTCACTGGCCTCGGAACAGTTCCCGGGTCTTTCGAGTTTTCCCGTAATTCATTGTCTTCTTATTTTAACTGTGGCTCCTGTTAGTAAATTGGAAAGCACTGCCCGAAATCCATGAGTCGTCTACGGGAAAGGTCAGACAAGTATTAACATTCCAACATAGCCACATGGCAGTGTGACTTTCTGTTGTTTGTTGGCAACATTTGCACTTAATGCTATAATTCTTCAGTGAAATCCCTGTGTTGCTCTTTTCCTTTCGCCTTTCACATTTCAAGAGCGGCCAGATGCATTCTGGGAGTTGGGGGGAACGTCCCACACTCAAAGAACGGGCTGAAAGAACTTAACCTTTTCAGTCTTGAACAGGGACGACTACAACTTGTAGTACAAGGGGACCTGATACAAATATTCAGTCCAAGTCAACCCAGCGTATTTGTTCGGAATGAACAGTGACGGGTAAACTGGAGGGCATAAGTAGAAACTACATGGAAGTACATTTAAAACTGAGAGCAGGAGGCATGTCTTTACACAAATGGTTGTGGGAGAGTGGAACAGACCGCTCAGGCATGATATTGAAGCTGATGGCCCGTTTCTTTAACAAACAGCTGGATGCGAATGTGGGAGTAATTAGTAATTACTAACTACAAACTGGCTAGTTAGGCTGAATAGCTTCCTGTTGTCTGTAATCAGTTCTTACGTTCTTGCTTTGCAGGGCTGCTGGAGGAGCGAGCTCTGCTGCTGGGCCGCATGGGCAAACACGAGCAAGCCCTGTTCATCTACGTGCACATTCTCAAAGATATCCGCATGGCTGAGGAGTGAGTACCTCATCAAACCTAAGACTACAGCCTGCTTATATACCTTTCACTCTGTGCAGTTACAGCTGAAATTGCAATAGGTTCCTTTTTGATGGCGCCCACTTGTCCTGGGAGCTTGCAGACATAATCCCTTAGTCTGAAGAAGTCTTGGGAGACCGAGAGAAAACAAACATCTTAAGGGAAGAGTTTAACATGACGAACAATCCTGTGTTTATGAATTGCCAGTAGATTAATGAGGCAGGATCTCTGCAGTCTAATTAAAATGCACTGCAGTGTGCAGGAGCGCAGTGCTGAAACATTTTGTGCTGCGTATTGCATCCTCAGACAGTGGTGTCATTGCCGAACGCTGGCAGTCAACTAACGCTAGTCCCTTAAGCTTCTTGGTGTGTTCCAAGGTTTTCCGTATTCATTGCAATGGCCCATGGTGGAAGCAACCAGTGGAAAAGCTGAGTGACCTGTTTCATGTCCACTCACTGGGAAACGAGGGGAGGGCATTCAGATACTATTTAAAGAAAAACCTGACTCAGTTTCTTTTTCTGCAACAGGGAATCATGTAAAAGGCGTGCGATTTGAAACGTTTACTCGCATAGCAAATGAAGGAGAGCCAGTCCTCTCATTTTTAAATGACTTTGTTCAGATTGCTTTTTAAGGAAATACTCCTTGAAAGTGCCTTAACACCATATCAGAAATGGCAAAAATACATTGTTGATGTACATTTTAACAGTCTAGCCAGGTTTTTAACTCAGTTCAGACAGAAGGTTTGCTGTTCCCCTTTTGAATCAATTTGCTGTAAGAAATTGGTTTACAATAGGAGATTTTCGTTTTGTAGATGTTGATGAGGTTTTGAAAAGCAGCAGGGGATGTGATATTCTTTGTTTATTTGAAAGCTGAACGGTCTATCTTGTTGTGCATGCCTTTAGTGACTCTATAGGAAGGCTTCAGTTAAAGGAATTACATTACAGATGATTCCAGCCTGCTTGATAATACCCTCTGTCACGGTTTAATTAAAACTGATTGACAGTGCTCGTTGAAGGTTTGCCTGCCAGTTTGATTGGAGACTCAGTGACTAATACCAGTGCTGTCTTCCTCGCTTAGGTACTGCCACCGGCATTACGACAGGGTGACTGATGGAAACAAGGACGTGAGTATTGCTCGAGAGCAGCACATGAATTGAGGCCATTCAAGATATTTTTTTGCACCCCATTTGAAACTGCCAGTTGTTTTGAGACTACTCCCCAGATGGGACTCCTATACAGCTCAGGAGAGAATGAGGAACGCCACCACCTGCCGGGTCAGTTGTGGTTTGACATGCCGTTAGCACCTCAGTCCCTAACAAGAAAGTTTGGGTTAACTGGAGGCACAGCTCTTCTCTTCAACGCAAGCCTGACTGACAAATACCTGTTGTGTCTCAGCGGTGGTTTGCCAGTTGTGCTCCACCCTTGGTGAATCCCTTTGACCTTTGACCCAGACCTTTGAGTGCAAGGTGAGATCATTGGGGACTCCCTACTGTATGAGCCACTTGAAAGACCTATGATTAACTTGTCTTGATAAAGGCAGAATGGAGAACCTAAGATATTAAAATGTTGTTCACATTTGTGCTTTCAGTGTGTCCACTGCCAGGAGGGCTTGGCAAGAGATTGAATCTCTGTAACTGGTCACTCCGGTTGCTTGACTGTTGATGTTGCAGTAATGTGCAGTGTAGGGTTAAGGTAGACCAGTACAGTAATCTTGCCTTGACATCTGCTTGTCATTTTCTCCCACAAGTGAAAGCATTGTTTCTTAATTGGATATTAATTTTGGTGGGGCCGCAATTCACCACTGAAATCCTGAGCAGACTTTGCAAGTCCATGGCTGGTGTAAAGAGATCATTTCTAATTTTGGCCATTTGAGAAGTGGAACAGTGTTGTAGGCAAAGAGACCTTGGTGACAAATCTTCGTGGGAGAGGAAATTGTATGAAAAATAAGCCGTGTGTGCTGTTCCTGTCTAGGTCTATCTGTCGCTGCTTCGAATGTACCTATCCCCACCTGACGTGCACTGCCTGGGACCAATCAAAATGGAGCTTTTGGAGCCACAGGCCAATCTGCAGGCAGCTCTGCAAGTGCTGGAGCTTCACCACAGCAAGCTGAACACCACTAAGGTACCGAGACTAGGGGAGCACCTGGGGGACCAGGCAAGGGTTTCTGACACCTAGTGAGGCATCCTGCTCAAGAAGTGTAGCTAGACTCATTTCTAACATTCATATAGAGTTTTCATGTCTAAGGATCAAGGATGTTGGATGGAGCCCCCTGGAGCACAGTGTCCCTGTACACTATGCTCAGGCACTGGTTTGGAAATTCAGGTCTTAGAGATTTCCTTGGTTTGCTCTTAGTTTTTCTTGGTTTGCTAAAGACTGACTGTGCAGACTTAACCCTTCAGTCAAAATTAATCTACAAAAAGTAAAACCCCACATTACACCTGTGTAGCCTGAGGTCAGCTTTGCTTATTTTCTGTAAATGAGTATAGTGTGTCAGTGGCCTAACTGAACCAATCATTAGCTTAATAGGTTCAGTCAAACACTTCTCAAAGCTCTTCAGCTCTTGGTGATTTAAAGAGATGTAAAAAACAGTCAGATACAGTCTCACCTAGGCTGGACTGCACACCAGTGATGTGACCAGACGAATCCAGTTGACGCACAGCATTTTCACAGTCTCACCTTCTGCATTGTCCTTCAAAATTTACCTTTTTTACTCCAAACTGCGTCTTCAGCTGGCATCGCCTGCAAGCTGTGGAGCTGAATGGTGTGCGATGATCTCGTTGTAACAGGCGATTAATCTGCTCCCGGCGAACACCCAGATCCGAGAGATCCGCGTGTTTCTGGAGAGCGTCCTGGAAGAGAACGCCAAGAAGAAACGCTTCGACCAGGTCCTGAAGAGCCTGCTGCATGCAGAGTTCCTCAGGGTAGGGGCGCCTCTGTGACCCCTTGACCACAGTGCCTTCCTGCTTTATTCCATTCAGCCGTGTTACCAGTTTGACTGTTAGAACAGTTACAGACATTTTACCTTGCAACCAGACAAGGGCATCAGGGAATTAATCACCATCTTGAGCCAATGCCAAATGTACAGATTAAGTAATTAGATTAATTTAGCTCAAAGGAAACCAAACCTTTCAATCCACAAGGATAGTAATTTGACACCTGTTCTAAAGTAAAATTAAATTGCGGGTTTTTTGGATCCTCAACTTGTATCCCATTCTTCAGTACATTACTAACTTTTGCTCTGTACAGCACCTTCTGTGGTGCAGCATGCCTTTCACTGGCCTTTCTGCTTGACTTCAGGTTAAGGAGGAGAGAATTTTCCACCAGCAGGTGAAGTGCATCATTACAGAGGAGAAGACCTGCCGAGTCTGCAAGAAGAAGATTGGGAATAGGTGAGCAGGATGAGACCTTTCCCCTTACCAGCCTTGCTGATTACGTTAATCACCTCACTTTTCAAGCACGTGAGATTCTTTAGTTACCCGCTGGGCATGCTAAGATAAGGGCCAACTGTAGGTTTCGAACTTGGTCAGAAGAACCCATCTCCAGGTAAGGCCACTGCCTGAGAACCTGAAAAGTCCTGTCAATCCTGCAGACGCTCCAGGTAACAGATTAGCCTTCCTATTGGAAATGTACAGTACTTGACACTGTAAAGCCTCTTGTTTTGACTAAAGATAATGTTTAATTAGAAATCCACCATTGCCACTCCCAAAGCAAAATCTGAAGGAAAGTAGCTGGAGTGTGGGCTGTGCCACTAGCCAGGCACTATTTACTATTTTCTGGCTGTGATTTGATTTTTCTAAGCAATCAAAAACATTTCAAAAGTTAGACACTTCAACAGAAATATTACTTTTAAAATGGTTTACACTTGGAGGGAAATAAGCTTTTTTTTAAATCTCCTATGACTTGATCATGGTATTTATGTGAATCGGCAGTAGACTTGGTCCTGCCTCTTCAGCTTACTAATGAACAAGTTATTCATGTAGAAGGAATTAGGTCTGGTCAACATTTTAGCCCTGACAATAAGATCATATAGCAGGAAATGTGTTGTTTTTTCACATATTGGGTACTGTGGTGTAAAAGCCTACACAGAGCCATGGCATTTCCCCTCAGGCATTTTTCTGTGCATATTATTTGAAACGAGAAATGAAATAAGATACCTCTAACTCTCAGCTCTCCATAGAAAGATAATGGTTTAATAAATACAATGTATTTATAAAAAATGTCAAACAAAAAATCTGTCATCTATTGCTCTTATTTTATTGAGTCATTATTCCTCCTCTTCAACATGTCTGTCGCTGTTTCTCGTGACAGTGCGTTTGCCCGGTACCCCAATGGCGTTGTAGTCCATTACTTCTGCTGCAAGGACCGGAGCCTGTGCCCTACTGAGCTGTGAGGGTGGTAGGGGCAGCACTCACTCCAGCCCCTGGATTGGCCGAGCGTCGGCAGGGACTGGGCCGGCCGAGGGATTCGAGCTCATCCCAAAAACCAACTCGCTTGCTCGCTTGCTCGCTCGCTCGCTCGCTCACGCCTGTGAGAGGAACTCCCATGGGACAGTTCGGGAGTCACGGAGCTACGGATGAATGGGGATGCGAGGTCGACTGCTTTGGTTTTTTAACTGGAATAGTTTTTATGGACGAAGTCGTATACGTTTTACCAATATGTGTTTTCCTCAAAGGAGATGGATGGAGGCGTTCTCTTTGGTAAAGCCCAAGCTACGCCGCCTGCTTTGTGCATACGCTGAAGGCCCTGCATGTCTTGAGCACTGAGATCTTCACTGGAATGTTACATTCTGACTTCAGCCAAGGGCTGAAGGACCCATGTTAATCAGCCCTATTGCTGTGTTATGTATTTCTTGTTGGCTTCTTCAGGCATTTTTGATGTCCTTCAGAATACTCTGTTTAAATGGACTGTTCCCTTCTTTTACTTCTCAAGGTGTTTTTGAAGGCTGATCAATAGATATTTGTTCCAGAACCTGTTTAAAATCTGTCATTGTTTTATAACCTCAGGTAATCCCCATCTGTTGGTGAAGAGAGTGAAATGTGATTTTTGTTGCACAGCATTCATCTGAAATGTACTTCTAGGTCTGCCTGAATATGCTCTTGCAGTGGTTAAGGATTTAATGATCAATCAAAACAGCTTTCGAATTTAAAATCACAGTTCCCTGTTACATTAGAATTTATAAGACCTTTTCTAAGGTGAGCAAGCTTAACTCGAAAGGACTGCTTGAGCAATCAGCTTGCCCCTGAAGCCTGAAGATAAATGTAGAAGAAATGGCTACCACAAGTATCTGCAGCCCTGCTCGTGGTTAGTCCCACACCATCATGTTTAAAAGGTAACGATTAAATTAATCAGCTTAATTGATCAATAAGTTAAGTTCCCAAATTTGAAGAAAATGTGATTAGGGGTGAACCCAAGCTTGCTGGATTAGTGCAGGCTTGGGGACCTTGCAGAAGCTGCTGCTAGAAATCAGTCTGTCTTCAGTTTGCAGTACTAATATCCTAAGATAACATCCAGTGTGTCAAGAGTGTTTCACGTTTAAATGTGTAAAGCCTGTTTTTTTTAGTTTACATGGTGTGTTCCGTGATGAAACAAATGCAAACACAACCTTGAATTAATTTTTGCACTATTAAAATGGCACAGTGAAGGTTTTTTTTGCAATTTGTTGCTCTTAGTGTAGCACATAAACAGTGTGGAAATATCACCTTTTCTACGCAGGTGTGGGGTGTATTCAATTTCTGGTAATCTTGCAGCTACTTTCTTGCAAACCCTGTACTCTATTTTGGTTTTACCCCTGGTTTTATCTCAATTATACAAATATTTTAAGTTGCAATGTCAAATCCTGAATCTCACTGGTTCTTCTGCTAGGTTGCTTTTCCCATTAGCAAATTATATAGTTCAATGCAGAGTTACCCATTTTTTCCCCATCTTTTTCTTTCTCTTTAATTGTGAAAAAAGAAACTTCTACTTGGAACCCTTCATGCTTTAGGATTACATATAATAGATGTATGTAACCTGAATGTGTTTTAGTAATGATTCAGTCTGGTTGAATACTGCATAGTTGTGTATGTTTTATCAAAAATAATCTGCTTCTCTGCTCTGTATTGTACAGTGCAGAATTTTCTTTTATTCTCTACATGATTTTTTTGTATGTTATCGTTCATCTGTCGGGTGGAAACCCAGTGTCTGCTGGTGTCCTGTTCCAACAGAGCTCCCAGTGGCCTCATTCATCAAATGCCAGACTCAAATCAAGGTTGTACTGTAAACACCTACTGTATACCTACTTAAAGTGATAGAAATGTAGCAACTGTGCAATATCCAGCTGTCTGAGAACTGAAAGTTACAAAACAATTCTGCCTTATTTAATCATTAGTTCAGTACAAAGCTTGAGCACTGATGAGCTCCGTTTGAGAGGAACACTCTAGAACCACCAGGAGCAGGACTGGGAAGCCCTGTTTATACACTCCAAGTGGTGAACTGGCCTCATGAAATAATGGAATGCAGCAACAAAATTTAAGAAAACAGTTTATTTATTTAAAAAGCTCTCTCAAAAAAGAAGCTTTTGATTTTAGACTATCTCGCCTTTGTAAAAAAAGTAAAACATTTAAACTTCTAAGGAAAGGTGTGTTAACGGATCTATTGCACTTTTGAAAAAATATTTTTTAAGCTCTTGACTAATATTATTTGCCTTATAGAACATTTATTTTCTGGCACATCTGTCAGTCCTACTGATAACCCATTTTAGCGCAGGACGTCCTGAACTAAAGGTTTAATTTGACGTCTCTGGTCTGTCTGGTGTCCTTTTCATTAATTGCACATACTGTATATCATTCTATGGTTGTTACAGACAGAGAACTTTCTACAAAGGTGTTGTAGTATAGAAAGTTTGGGAAGATTGTATAAAAGTTTATTTTTAGGTCTGTATTCAAAATGACTTTGTTCACTAACACAACCGGTCTGAATAGCACGGTACAAATTGTAAAAAATAAAGTTTGAAAGTGATAAAGTAACCTTTATGTGTCTAGATGTCTGCCTCTGGGGTATCTGTTGTTGTTGGAGGCTAAAACAAAAGACTCCATATACCCCTTTTAATATATGCAAATGTAGATTCACTTTACTAAAGTAACAATGGGTTTTTATTCCACCTTTTGATTACTGATCATTCGTCCTTACTTTGGCTTTGATTTAAACCATGGAAATTATACAATTAAGTTTTTTTTTCTTAGTTGAATAATATTTATGAAGTGCCTTCCAAACTCAAACATGCTATTTAGAATGACAAAGAGGAAAAGGAGAAACAATGTAAAAGAAAAATGAGACACGATAACATACAGGATAAACTGTAAGGCAATTAGACATACAGTAAACCTGTGTAAAAAGATTAGTTTCAATTTATTTGAAAAGGGTCAAAGACTTTGTCTCTCCAAGAGGCAGGGAAAGAACATTCAATTACAGAAGCAGTGACAGAAAAAGCAGTCTTTGAAAGTCTGCATTAGGAATTTGTCTTTTTGCATACCCCAGCTTGCTCTCCATGAGGGACACACAGGTGGGGAGAGAGAAGTTTGGGGATAGAGTGTCAGGGTCAGTCATTTATACAGCACCCCTGGAACAGTTGGGGTTATGGCCGTTGCTGGTCCAACGGAGTAGGCTTTCTCTGCTGGCCATGGGATTTGAACCTGCAACCTTCCAGCCACAGGCACAGATCCTAACCACAGTGCCACCACTCTGCCTTTATACTTTATAGTCAACCAATGTAAATAATTTTACATAGACAAATTATTTTATATTGGGGGGGGAGGAGAGATTTTAACATACTGTAAATTTGAGTATCATCTGCATAATAATGAAACCGATGACCATACTGTATTTGTGTATAATCTGACTGAATGAAAGCATATAAATAAAAAAAAAAAGCAAAGGGCCCAAGACTGAACCCTGGGGCACACCGTGATTGACTGGGGCCGTGGGGGATTTATGAGGACCAAGGGAAACGAAATGCTACCTGCCAGTCAGATATATGCGAAAACAGTTCAAATAGTTCATCGATAGACAAGAATGTCTGCAAGCGTTAGAGCAACATTGATTTACTATATCAAAATCTGCACTAAGGTCAAGGAGCTTAAGAATACTTATAGCTTCTAATACTTACAGCAACAAGCAAATCATTCACAACCTCTGACTAGAGCTGTCTCAGTGCTATGATTAAGGCAAAAACAGGACTGAAATGGTCCAAATAAATAATTAGCTATCGTATGAACCTGTAATTGATGTGCAACACGTACTATGTTTTTTTTTGTGTGCTCAGACACCTATACACTAGGCTGGCTCTTATAGCCTGCTTGTTCGTGAAATGGTTAATGGCACCGTGTCTCAAAATCCAGCTTGTGCTTTGGAAAGTCTATCCACAAACTTTTTGTTTTCTAAAAAAGGTTTTTGAAAGGTTTATGCAAATTTCTGCATGCAAAGATGTGAATTAATATTAATTTCATCTGAGGTTTGGACCAATGCCTTTTAGATTTCTTTTGATATGTGAGCACTGACAGCCCCCAGTTCCCCTCAGTACCTACTCCGATGTCGAATTTTGTGCCATAGATGTGCGTGGCAGATTTACTAACTACAGTACATGCAGAATGTAGGCCATGTGTATATTATGAACAACAGCAGTCTTACTGATCCCAGAGGGAGTGCCCTAACAGCTATTGTCCTTATTCTGTTAAATAATGGATGTTTAATTTATGAGCATGGACTACCTTAGAACTGGGTTTAATAACATTTGGTACTTTGTCAAAGACTTTTTGGAAATTTCATAAATACAGCATAGCATGGTCTTTAAGAAGTGGAAAGTATTTTCTCCTTTACCAAAAGAGACCCACCCATATTCATTTTGAATTTTGAACAGCTATATCAGAGCAATCTGCAGTCAGAATGCTTTATTCAAAACAAACGTTTTACTGCACAATAGGTATTTAAAACTAAACTCACGAGCGGCGGGGGGGGAATAAATGCAGCGTCCTCTATCTTCAGCGACCTTTTCTCGCGCTGAACATCAGGAATCTGTCAGGCTGTTCAAATCTTGCCTCTGGCCTTTTGTTTTACAAAGCAGTCTTGGATTATCGAAAAACCCTTGGAGATTTTGTACTCTTTATCACTAACTCCTGTTTCATGTTGCTCTCAAGCTCTCATGTTGTTTTCTTCGATTGTCAGGGTAAACCCTCACTTTGTAACCAGGCCCCATTTTTCTCCTACATTATTTTAAAGTTCATTGGGATTAAACACAGGAGGGCACAGCTGTGACAAATCTCAGAGAAAAACTACCCTTCTTTCAGACACCAGTCTATTACAGGGGCTTTTTGACTTCAGGAATTGGCATTTAGACAGATGCAGCCCACAGTATGTAGTACTAACCTACCCCACAGACGAGAGTCCAAGTTGCTTCGGATAATTTAAAACAAGATTCATCAGTCTAACTCAATCAAAACCCAGAGTAGCTGGTCAGTCTTCTGGATGAATAGAAACCTGCAGAGCTGGCTTCTACGAAGAAGGACTTTGTACTTAACCGGGTTTATCCCATTTGAACAGATGTCATTCTGATGACAAGGAAAAAGGTTTTGAAAGGTTTATGGCCATGTAAATGCATTAAGAGTGACAGACTGGAACGGAGGTGAGCACTACTCCAGGGTCACAGGTTCGATTGCAGCCTGGTGCAGCTGCTCTCTACCTGGAGGGGGCACCAGTGGAACAAATGCACGATCTACCTGTACGCGTGTAAACTCGTACCAGCTGTTCTGGTTTCCTCCCACCTCAGTTGGTGCTCCATCTAGGATGCCTCCCTGCTAATCTCCAGCTTGGCCACACTCTCACGTGGATGAACAGCCTCCAGATAACAGATGGGTGTTAAAGTCTTGCTTTGTTAACATAAGATTCATTAGCATGCTTGAAAGTCACTGAAAACTGGGTATGGGGAATGAAAATGTATTAGGGGGTTTAACACATGGGCACTCAGATGGACGTAACAAAACTGCATCTGCCCCCAAGTTGTGGACGTGGGCAAAGGAATCTTATCTGTGCCAGTGTATATTTGGTGCCAGTGAGTCTTGACCTTCTTAAGACAAGGTAATGCACTTGTCTTTGGAGACTAAGACCTGGGGTTTGGGATGGAGGGTTGGCACACTAACACTAAGCCATCACTACACAAAGTCCTCAAGATTTGAATCCAATGAAGATTCTTCAAGATCATCAGATCTACCTGCACCTTATGTAACCACCACTAAGAGGGCATGCAGCAATTTCTTACTTGTTCATTGTGTAAATGTTGGCGTTATCGTAAACGTGCAATTTTAAACTGTTTTTGGTTTGTTGTTACATAGCTTCAATAATTTATCAGAATCCAAAATGGTCTGATACTAATACAGTGTATGGTATTTCATACACTTGAGAAACACAACTTGTATTTTTAGTCCCATTTATTCTTAGGTCGTGTTCTGCCTGTAGCAATTTTTAAAGGTCATGTCCTCTTTCTACACTCCTACCTACCTCCTGCCATTTGCTTTCATAAATGTTAAGAAGGGCCACAGTTGTGGTAAAGCATGCTATTATCATTCATCTAGGTACAAGCATTGAAAAATGGAGGAAAATTGCACAAAAACAGGTAATTTAGTGTATATATATAAACCTCTGTGCAGTTGGGAAATGACCACAGTTATTTGTCACAGATGGAGGTCTTGAATTGGAAAGCTGTTGTGTTCAGTGGCTGAGAGGTAAAATAGTTATACAGCATGTCCTCAGATGACTTATGTGGTCAATTTGCCTACAGGCCCCATTGCTGTGCTGGAAGCAGAAAGAATCAGCTGTATGCGGCTGCCCTTGCTGGGTTTCCATAGACCTTGCAGTCCAAGGAATCAAGAGTCTTTGTTGCAGCCTCATTTTTTCATGAAAAGGAAAGCAGTCTGCTCACTTTTGTGAACTTCTTACCCTGATCAACCCATCCATACATTTTCTATACCACTTTACCCAATTCAGGGTCATGGGGAAGCCGGAGCCTATCTCAGTAAGCAATGGGCACAAGACAGGATACACACCCTGGATAGGACACCAGTCCATCACAGGGCTAATTTTCCCAGAAGCCAATGAAATTACCAGTATGCTTTTGGACTGTGGGAGGACATTGGAACATTTGGAGGAAACCCATGCGGGTATAAACTCCATGCATACAGCACCCTGAGAATTGAACCCAGGGCCCCAGAGTTACAAGGCAGCAATGCTAACCACTGGGCCACTGTTACTCCTGTGGTCTAAGCCTCTTGTATGAAATACCCCATGTAATACAAAATATATTGTTTAATCCACACACTTATAATATGCCCTCTATTTAAACAAAAAGCATTACAATGCTCTTTCTGTTCTGAAAGATCTTTAACAGAAAGCAAAAGAAATAAAGCAAAAGATAGAGGGAATATACTACAGCAAGAAAAAAAAAATTAAAAGGACACTCCATTGAACAGATACAAGAATCATATCCCATTCCATTAAGCCACTTGGTGATCTACATGTTCATGAAATGTAATGAATGACACTGACTTCAAAATGAAACCACAGGTCGGTGAAAGAAGCCCCAATGTCTTGTAACAGTTTCCTCTGTTGACCCTGTCAATTGTTCAAAGGGGAAACCAAAAATAAACTCACCTTCCTTTGGAGGTTACCATAGCCACTACCCGTACTATTGGTACTCTTTATTTGGAGAGCACACATCTAACATCTACAGTACTTACTGAGTGTCATTCCATTTATTGTACTGGCATTCCAGAGGCAGTGTTTTCTGGGAAATTATCCTTTGGCACTTCAGTTAGAAATGCCAGAGATGCCAGTTAGCCTGGGGTTAGTCCACACCAGTAAAGGGGTGGGAAGGGACTCAATCTCTCCGTGTCAAAGCAGAAGAAGAAACAAATGTGCTCGTTTGTTGAATTATTTTTCAACTTCACCACTATTCAGAAGACATCCTGCAGGGAATGCATTAGAGAATAGATACACTAAATAACAATATCTGAAAATTCCCTTGCTTTTATTAATGAAAGGCTCAAAAATGATTTGGACATTTCCTGTAGCCTTCAAGCATTGAGAATAGCAGACTTTAGTGATTCTTGAGGGACAATGAAGGAAGATTGTGTGCTCCTGAACAGTGAAGTGGTAGAAAATAATTCCTAAAATGGTAAAAAAAAATCACAAAACACATTTTAAAGAGCTTCATTCCACAGTCAGAACAGGCTCTGATGTCCTTACAAAGTCACTGTTTCTTAACTCTTAATAAAATGCATGCCTATTTTCCTCAGAATACTTTTGCTTTCCTTTCCTAAAGGAAAAGGGGATTGAATTATTTAAAAGCACTTTTGTTTAATCTTGTTGAAAATGAATGAAGTGCTATACGATTCTAACTGACAGCTTCAAAGTGAATGAATACATTCTGAGCTAATTGGAAACAGCTGGGGTTTGAACGTCTAGATGCTAATCTTGGTGTATGGGGTTATTAAATGCACAGAATCCTGCCACATTAAAATGAGCAGATGTGGGACAGTGGAAATACTTCTGCTAAAAAATAAATGGCTGCCATGGATTCTCCAGTCTCTCTGTCTATTGTTTTTATTACAGAAGCTTATTCCATCCTTTCATTTTCTAACTCCTTCATCCAATTTAGGGTGATGGGGGAGCCTGTGTCTATCCCAGCAAGCAACAGGTTCAAGATGGGATATAACCTGGAGGGGACACACCCACTCACACTATGGCCAGTTTTTCCTGAAGCTAATTAACCTCCATTATGTCTTAAGAATGTAAAAGGAAATCGGAGCACCTGGAGGAAACATACTTGAACACAAGGAAAACATACAAACTCCACACACATAGCCCGTTCCCAGATCCAGAACTGAACCCAGGACCCCAATGATCACTGTGCCACCGCAACCCTAACAAGTTTATTGATTCCTTGATTGAACTGCTTACTTCATTAGGTAAACATTTTCTCTACCTGACCCTTGATTACACAAACACCTTAAATAAGGTTAAAAAGTCACGGTTTTAATGCTCTAGCTGCAGGAATGTCAATGCCTTATTGACTCAAGAGGACTTTTTCATCAATGTGGTTTGGGGGGGGTGGTGGCACCCCATTCTCCAGTGAAGATCTCCTCATAATCTCCAAAGGTACTGTATGTGTTTGCCTTCAAAGACCACAGATGTAACAGTCACTGATGCCCCTACAGATCCCTGATGAGATTTACATTTTTGCTCATCAGAGAAGAGCACGTTAGCCCACTGAGTCTACTGCTCAAGCAGTTGTGTCTTTCACCAATTCATGGTGCTTGCTGGGCTTTCTCACAGAGACACCTCGGAACAAAACTGGCACTAATGCACGCTGGGAATGGACCAGCTTACTGTAAAATGATCCAGTTTATTTTTATTGGGTAAAACTGGAGAATGAGCTGCAGCTCCCTGAGCAGTTTGACAGCATTGCTGAAGAAGTATTGTTCTGATTAAAGGGTCCTAGGCAGGTGTCATTAACTATCAGCCACCAACGTGCCCTTAAATTCTGGGATAGTGAATGGTCACTGCGTGCATCTGATATGATTTGTCGTATTATGTTTCAACAGCATTGCCGGTTTCTGAAATGAATCCCAGTAATTCTGAAATTATTCCCAGGAAGGATGAGTCATTTTTTATTTACATTTGTTTGTTATTAGTTTTTCAAATGGGATGGAATGCACTACAAGTCCAGTATAGTATTGACATCCTGAAACACTGTACATGGGGTGCATTTTTAAAGATGGCCAGTCCTAAAGGACTAACAGGCCATAAAAACCACACCACAGCCCCTGAGGGTTTCAGGAGTTTTTAACACTTGATGTTAAAGAAATTTGGCAACTGAGCTGCATGTCCTGTGGGAATACTGAAATCACTATCCGTTATTAATGGTCTGTCTGAAACAGCTGCACGAAGTTAAACTTTTGGGTGGAGCTCAAATTATGTCATTCTGGATGCAGTCTCGGTGTGTACATTTTTTTCCTTGATGTTGTGGATAGTTTCGGAAATTAACATATAAGGTTTTGCATTTTCATGGGACTCTTCCACAGTTGTTTTGAGTCAGTGACCTTTTTGCTACATATTTGAAACGAATGAGATCCTGTTTCTTTTTTGTAGTCCTTTCAAATTGCGTGGTGTTGTACGGGTTTATGACAATTTTAAAAAAAATATATTTGAATAATTCAGCTCTCACAATCGCATTTGCTAACCTGCCTTAGAAAAATTCCATCGTTTATGAGGGTGATAATATATTAGACCACTGTTTTTTCTTGTAGTTATGTACTTATGAAGGAAATTGATTAAATAACTGTCTATGGTTTACTGTCTTAAGTAGAAGGGTGTGATTTTACTATGCAACTCTGTATGATTTCAGAATGATGCAATTATCTTTTCATTTGAGAGACACGGAAGTACAAATCAATATTAACAGCAGGAGATTACAAATTTCAGTATTCAAAAGCAATTAGTTATAGACAGATGTCCGGCAGGAAAGGATTACATTGAAATTGTATCATTACCGCTGATAGCTAAACAGTACTTGGACTACTAGAAATATTACATTTTATCTACTTAATACGACTGTAGATATATGATGATATTTACAGAACCACGGTGTTACCTTAAATAGTATTTTTTCTTCCTAGGCGTAACCGACTTTTTAATTGTATTCCAAAAGTAGTTTAAAATCTGTCAGACGAATTAATCAACACCACAGGGGCACTTATAGTTTCTTTCATCTTAATCCATTTTAATTGGGTAAAACTAGATTGAGCTGCAAGGTTTGGACATGTACTGCCACCAAAAATCATGCAGAATTGCGTTTCTGGTTCTGTTTCAATTGCAGGATGTTAAAACTAAAGCTCTACAATGTATATGTAGCAAAACCTGAATCAAGCAGTATGAGTTGTTTTATCATTATTTTGTTCGAACAGAAAAACATCCTTTTCTATTATTTTTGACAAAATTTCAATACTAACTTATAACTAACTAATAATAACTAATAATTAGTGGGTGGCAGCACTGGTAAGAAATACTTTGTGTTTGAAACATCTTGGAAACTGGAATATATCGGCGCTAGGACCTGATAAATACCTCGTGTGCTTCTGTGAACATCGGGAATCTCGGCTCCAACCAACCAGCTTGCGGGCAGTTAGTTATCAGAGGCACACAGACATCTCTGGGCTGTTTGCTTTCCCGAAATCTGGACCCTGCCCACCCAGCTGCTGTCCGCTGCAAACCCGAAACTCACTGAGCCGGCGAGCCCTCCATATGGGCTCACAATGCGAAGGATTAGGGCTAACGCCATCGCAATCCTAACTGTCGCATGGATCTTAGGCACCTTTTATTACCTGTGGCAGGATAACAAACCCCAGACGTCCCCGTCTTCAGCATCCCAGTCGAGGTCTACCGCCACCAGGAACCATGGACAGAGACACCCGGGGCGGCTAGACATCCACCGGGAGGACAGGACCATCCCGCTCATCGTGAGTAGCGCACAATTTTGCCTCCGCTGCATGAGAGTGTGTGTTGCATGTTGATGTGCAGCAAGCGGTGATGCAGTACACGAGGTGACATTGTAATTACCGAATAGCCGGGTACACGCATCCAAGCGAGCAGGATCTCATCAACAGAGATGATGAGAAGTGTCGAAGTGCACCTAAGTTTTTTTTCCCCAGACAATGTTCATGTTAGCAGTTGTCCTTCCAGACAGTTGATTCTTTGTGTTTATGTGCCTGCCTGCATAGCATTTCGCTCAACATAAGCTCAAAAAGCTATGGGTAGATTTTTAATTATGGAACAGGTTGCGTAGGTAAATTGCTTCTGTTGTCTGTTTGGCGTGTTCTATCCGTTAAAGTGTCAAGGGCTGTGAATTACTGAAATGGGTTTATTGATTTCTTTGTGAATTGAGTAAATTGTGTCGATGAAACAGTACTCCTGAGCGCAACTGACCACAGAGAAGTAAAAAGCATACTATGATCAGAATAAACATGCTACTCAGCATATAAATGGGCAGAGATGTTGTCAGTAGGCATTGCCTGAGAGCGAGCGATGACCGCAAACTGTTAGTTAAAAATGAAGGACTGTCGCATGATGCATGAAGTACATTTTTATCAGAGTTAATGTGCAAAGCAGGAGCACGGTGCCTCTTGTTCCATACAGATAATTTATGTTTAACGGTTTTCGCGATTTTTCTCATTCATAAAGCGAAATTTGTTTTATTTCTTAGTTGAAATCAAGGGCGCAACTATCAAAATAAATATTGCTGATGGCTTATGTAAAGAAAACGCAAACGATAGCCCTCAACGATACAGTACAATGCAACTGAGAGGTAGGAATTCTGTGCCTCCTGAAAGGCATAGTCAGGAGATCTGTCTCTCCTGATATCCAATTGCTCCGGTCCAGAATAATCAGATACATCTGCACCAAAAAATTGCAACATGGAATCCGCTTTCTGATATTGGAGATATACTCCCTGTCTAATTTCTTATCTGATGATATGCCCCATACCGACGTTTATGTTAGTGTAGTAGCTGAGGTGTCATATATAGCAAGGTTTGATTTTCCTCCACAGTCCAATTTAATTGCTGTCTCTTTCACCTCAGCTAAAACTACCCTTTCAAAGTTCTCAGCTGTCAGACTTGTTCAATTATCATTACATGTTTAGCAGCAAAGGGACAGGTACAGTACATGAGAACTGCCATACTGTACTGTATATCATACAAATGAGGCCTGAGAAGTGGAGTGAACGCAAGCATGTGGTGTAAAGCCTAAAAACAGAAGGTGCAGCTAAATAACAGTTTTAAAAATGTAACAATATGGAAAAGCACAGAAGTTTGAGAAAGAACAATGAGAGGGTAGAAAAATGTTCTGACTTGGTCATGTTTGCACAGAACGCAAAACCAGTTTGCTAATGTGTGATAGAAGGAGGGCCAGTGGTAACAAAGATACTGTATGATGCCCATATGTCTGTGCCATGTGCGTGGGGATGAAATCAACACTTCAGTCACCACATATGAACGCCACCTTGATTGCCGAAAGTACGTTTCAAATGCATTATTCATGTTCTAGGTATGTGCAAAAAATCTGCTAGTAAGCACCTTAACTCTGCGCAGATCTGGGCAGTTATTCAGTTGAAAGTAGGCAACTGCACTCTGCTAATTCGTTTCACCTTCGGTTTACCTGTGCAATCTGTCTCCCTGATGCTCTTTTTTTGTAGGAACAGCAAACATTTAAAAACGTTCTTTACGTTTGTGTGCTGGCTGTTAATTTGTAGAGCTCTTTGTGTGATGTGTGTGTGTTTTGTTTAAAGTGGGCTGCTTTCTAAATCTCACTTTATTGGCACAACTTCTTGGAGCTTCTGCACAACATTGCCAAATGGCATGTTTAAGTATACTTGTTTTCTGTACTATATTCTGAATAATGTTTTTTAAATAGAGGTATTTAAGAAGAACACATTTACAAATCTGTTACAGACACTAAGCTTCTTACAATTTAGTAAGTGTAGGATACTTCAGATTTCCTTACACCTGAAAAATGTAGGAGGCAATGGCAGAAAACTAATTTTCCTCATAGAAGTGAACAATGTCAATAAGAATTGCTGACTCTTTGTTCAACTGTATGCAAAAGTTTATTAATTGGTGCCTTTAATATTCAGTAATTCCACAATTATTTATTTTTTGCTACACTTTCCAAAATCTACAGTGAACCTTATGGACTTTCACACAGTCATTTTGTACAGTATGGTATTAGAATCATGATTTATTTAGGCTTTATTCTCCAAACACCAGGAGTTTTCAGGTTTATGAGCTTTGATATACTTTCTATACCTCTGTAAAGGTTGTTGTGCCTTAACTATTATATGTACTTTATGTTCATATCGGTAAAATCAGGAACCTGCAGTTAAATTGTAATGCGACATACAATTAATGTAATTTTTAATGTGCTAAGTAACAATATTAGAATTAATGCATGGCTTACAAGCGAGAGACTTTGACATGAAAAAATGCTGAAATGCAGCATTCCAAACAGGCAGGTTTTGCAGAAGAAGAACATATCAGATATTGCATACATTGACAATCTGCTTTTGGCATATGGTATCTGTCTGAAGACATGAGCTATAGCAGTCTTTGACAAAACCTTCAGGACTGCAGCCATACAATTTTCCCTCCTAAAACCTATAACAGCTGGAGATCAATAACTAGTTGTCATTTGTATTGCAAATTCATATTGGTGTGGTGCTATATCTGTATTTACTTTTAAGGAGCAGTTTGTAGACTCAGAATTAATGTCAAAATACTGACTGCCTACATAACAAGAAAGTAACAGTGTCTCAAAGCACTGTTGCATGTAGTTTTGACTGAAACTCTCAGGTTCACAGCTGTTGTTTTCATAAAGTACTGTTGACTTTTGTTGAGTTCAAATATATATATACAATATACAATCACAATTGTTTCTTAATCTTTGTTGGGTTTTGTAAAGGAAACATACATTAAAATAAACACTTTGCCTTGCTCACATAATTAAGCTTAATTAAATAGTGAGAAAATTCAAACCTGTAAATTCTTTTACATGAAAAGCTGCATTTTTGCATTTTTTGTTTAGCCATTGTCCAAAAAATAGGACTTACTGTATGTCAGTATGACTGTATTACCACATTCTGTAAATATCTCATAAACTCCTGTTTTATTCAGGTAACTGACTCAAATCTACCAGGTTTAGAAGAACTATGAGTACTGCCTAAAAGATTCAAGGCATTATTCATTGCCCACCAAATTACTATTCAGCGGTCAGAGGTTTGATAGAGCAATGCATTAAATAAAACAAATTATTTTCATTGGTAAGCACAATTAATAATAAATTTAGCTGTGCAATGCAATAGGTTGTCGGTTTTCCTAAAGCAACTGGAAGTTAGTGTTTAACTTTAAAAACTTTATAGGTGATGGGATGATTTTCGGTAAAGTTTTCTTTCTCTCCGAGATTAAAGACCACTTAATGCGACAGAAAAAGCACAAAAAATGACTACGTTCTTTACAGAGGTTTCAGGTAACCAAATAGGAACTAGAGGTCAAGATTATATTGAAAGAGTATGTGGGCCCTAGAAGCAAGATTCAAGATAAGTGTTATATACTTCAGATTTATTGTATATTTTAGCTCCTGTCCTGCGTCAGGTAAATACAATGTTAGTCAGAGTTGATCAACATAAGACATACTGTAGTGTTATTAATTAAATACAGTACCTAGTTTTTAGCCATCCTCAACAGAATCCTGTACACTGTACACTTTGACATAATTTCAGGCAGTGTGCAATATGAAGCTGTTTTCTTTCACAGACCTCAACAAATGTTTAGCACTCTGTTGTATACTCAAACCCAGCCATTGCTGAATCTGACACCAGGCAGGGATTTAGCAGAAACCACTGCTCTTGACTTATATCCAGGGTTATGTTTTCCATGGCCCAGTGCATTTGAGTCAGCTTCTTAGCAATGTAGGGATGCTTGTATTGGATACTGGCACGGGATTATGGTCTCATTACCATAATCAACTTTGTGCCCTTTGGACATTAGCAGCTGTGTAGTGCTGACCCCTGAGGGGTCAGGGGTGTTAGATGACGGTGCCGGAGGTGGTAGGTGGAAGGATGCCTTATGCCTAAGGGATTACTGCAGCAGCATCCATGTAGTTTGTGAGCTATTGAAGCATTTTCTCCATGTCTAATGAAGCTCATTCAGTACATTACAGTGACATAGTCTCCCCAAAACATTGTTAATCCCAAATCCCTCCATGACAGGAGGCCAATGAAGTGGAACTTCACAGCTGTTGGGAAGGGGCGCTGCATGATCTGGGGCTCGAAGGTGGCTGAGCGACAATAATACAATCCCAGCATTGCCTAATTCAGAATTGTGGGGTTGCATGTGTACGCTTAAATTAGGAATTGGATCGATGTGTGTGAGAGTGTATTTAGCCACAGTCACCAAGCTGTTGGCTTTACAGTATCTCTGCATTGCAGCAGAAAAAGAAAACTCGGCCCTTTGAGATCTACATACGGGTTTCCTTCCATTTTGATCTTTGCAGGGATTTTTTGCGTCGTTCAGCAAGAGTGTTTGTGGTCACTGATGAGGTCCAGTGTTATGAATAACTCCAGTGATCACATCCTTTTAACACACAGCTGCCATCTCCTACTGTAGATAAGCAGTATACCTGCACATGCTGTAAACAGACCTGTGCTAAGCTAAGCAGAAGTTCTGTCTTTACCATTGAGTGGTTTGGAGCATAGGTACATCACCATGGTGACTGACAAGGGAGGGCAGCTAATTCTTTTCTGATTATAACATATTGGTGCTGTAATCAAATTATCAAGCTTAATGAAATATCAGGCTGACAGGGCAGAACTGTTTTGTTTAGAAGATTACAAGGGAAGCTGATTCAAGTATTCAACATCCCATGATTCAGTCTAAGACGATCCCACAGACGTCTACAGAATTAACAA